CAAAAAAAAAAAAAAAAAAAAAAAAAAACCTCACTTTTCAAATGTCACTTGTCTCAGAAGAGTTATACATTGATGGACTGCCATTTAGCCCACCACCATCTTGAGAGGACAAGACAAGTAAACTCGGTAAGAGCATAGTGACCTGAAACTGAAGTACAATATAGCAATGCAAGGAACACGTTACCATTTTAATAACCATTGTGCTTCCAGCAGGCTGTCATCACAAAGTGCAGCCCAGGCAATGTCTGCCAACACAGTAAATGAAGGCAGGCAGAGGTCTCCCAAAGTAAGTGGACTGAGATACTAGTAACCACAGGCCCTACCTGGAAAATACAAGCAGAGGCTCCTGGGGGGTCAGGTGGCACAAGCAGCCTCCACAGAAGTAAAGGGTAACTGCTAAGGAGGCATCTATGGCAAGGAGAGAAGGGAAATGTGCCACAGAGTCTCCTCTCCTGATACCCACAGGTGTCCCTTAGGCTATCGAATCCATCTATCACACATTTCCCTTTTCCCTTCCAGAACTGCCATCTAGAGTTAGGTATTGCAGTGTGTGTGTCCATAGATGGCATGACTCTGACTTAAACATATAATCCCTACTTTCAGGTCTTTTCCATTCTTTGTTTTGGGATTTTGTTTTTTTGTTTTTTTTGTTTTTTTTTTTGTTTTTTTTTTGTTTTTTTGAGACAGGTTCTCTATTTAGTCCAAGGTGGCATGGAACTCATTATGTAGATCAGACTGCCCTTAAACTCATAGAGATCCTCCTGTCTCTGCCTCTCCAATGCTGAGATTAAAAGTGTGTGATACCATGCGTGGATCTTTTCCCCTCTTCACTAATTAACATCAGAGCAATATTCAGATCTGAGGCCATGCAGAGGAGCATCCCACATCCTCAGATCTGGGGCCAATGTGCAGAGTACCTCACACCCTCAGATCTGGGACCATCCTGAAGAGCACCCCACATCCTCAGCCATTCATATTTAAAATATTGTGGTGTCCTTAGAGGTGGGCCTCAAATCCCAGGATCCCAGAATTGGCTGCTGCTCTCTTGCCCTCCTTTCCAGCTATAGGAAAATCCCTCTCAGGAAAGGCCTTTCTCCTCCTTCCATCTTTCCAGTTTCTTTGCCAGCAAACTCTGCTCACTTTCTGGGATCCAGGCTTTGGGCAACTAATGGTAGTAAGAAGAAATATCCTTCGGGTGATGCCTGTATCCCCTGTCACTTAAGGATAAGCCCAAAGTGGATTAACTAATGCCTCAAAATACTTATCCAGACACTGAAACAAAAGGTGAGGAATGTCACTGACTGTGTTGAGGAGGGAGGCAGAAAGAGCACAGGTGGACTATGTCTGAATTGCTGGCCAAGGCTGTGAGGAATGACGCTGGAAATGAGGGGTACAAGTTTGGTGGCAGTTCCAGGCTGTCTGTCAGCTCCCATCAGACAGCATATGGTATACGCCTGTATCTGCCCTCTTGTCACGGCAGTGGGTTCACGGAGCATTCTCAGCCAGACTCATCCCTTGATGTCCTTAGAGCCCAGCATCACCAGATATGGTACCCTGAATCCTAAGTCCTGTCAATCTGTGTTCTTTCGCTGCCAAACACTTTGTACATGGTGCTGGGATAGCCTGCATGTTTCTCTACACTGGTCAGTCCCTTAGACTTATATTGTAGTAGGTGTTTAGTCAGTGCTCACCTTTTTACAGAGAGGGGGAGAATGACCCAAGTAAGGCCTCCTGGAGGCAGCCTTTATCTAAGTTGGAACTTTGTGTTGCTTTTTCAGAAGCCAGTTTCTAAATCATAGGCAGTTTTTAATCAGCCATGAAGAGGACACTTGATCAAGCAGGTAAGCAGGACTTCTGGGCGTCTCACCACTCTCTAGTATGGCTGGTTGCCAAGAGTTGGCTTGTAAGCTGATGTCTCCTAAGGACCACAGGGCTCCTCCTGTGTGCAGGAGCATAGAGTTAGGTCAGATAATTATAGCCTGTGGTTTGAAAAATACAGAGCTCCATGGTTTGCATAGGAATGTCTAACTCTTAATTATATCATAAAAGGGGGATAGAAACAAAGGAGGAAAGGAAGCAAGAATAAATGAAAGTCTTTTAAGCATAGCAAGTCCTTTCCCAGCTTCCTCTCCAGCAGTAGCTTGCTGTGTGGGACTAGGCTGACCACTGAGAGCTTTGGAAACCTCTGAGCCGTGTTTGTGTCTGTGTTCCTTACATCGCACATGCTCAGAAACTAATTTTTGGATGTTGCTGATTAGCTTCAAATCTGTTGGCCTCAGTTCCTTCATCTCTATTTCTGAGGTCAGCAATAGAGTTCTCACTACCCCAGTCCAAACAACTGAGAAATAAGACAAAGGCATAGACAAAATAGAGCCAGTTGTTTCTATAGATGTAAAAAATAGAGCCCACATATCCAACAGCCTTGTACCTCAGGCTGATAATAGACTACATTGGGCCTGGAAGGCTTTCTGTATCAAAGACTTAAAATTTGGGAATCCCTGGCTCTTTTGCAGAGCTTCAGAAAGATGGGAGACCGACCAAGTAGAGCAGACCAAAGGGAATTCTCTTCTTTGGGAGGCTAGAAAGAAGTTCCAGTGATGGATCTACCTTCATGAAAAGGACTCTTAGAGAGCACTAAGACTTTTCTGACCCACTCCCATTCTGACTTATTGAAGACATACTATGAACCAGATCAGTGTTGTGTTCTAGGGCACAGAAATAGAGAAGGTACAGTCTTGCCCCCACTCCAGGAATTTAGGGCCAAATAAATAGGAAAATCAATAATTGTGCAGTTATAATTTGGTTTCAAAATAATCTATAATTCTCTCTGTGATTCTCTAAGAATATGTTTTTATGGAAAAATTAGGCTTAGAGTTTCAAACAACTGATTCATGAACTTGCAAAATTTATTCCCATGTTCAATTGAGGAGAAGTTTCTGAAATTTCCCTCCATGGGACCTGATGGTCCTAATATTCCCATCACAGAAGTAAAATCAGCAAAGAAACATCAGCATTATTAGTGATTCTTAGCTAAGATGTCTACAGACTGTTGTCCCTTCTTAGAATACTGCTACAGAATGTGCCTAGAAGTGTTGCTTGGTTTTGTCACTTATATTAAAGAACAGAAAGAAGTTAATTCTGAAGACATTTCAAACAAATCAAGAAAGCCATGTTTGTATATTTTCATTGACCTACAGTTTTTTTTTCTCTAGGAAAAGGTTTTTGTTGTTGTTTTAAGTAAGCATGCTCCTCTAAACTTCTCCTCTGAAACTCCTCAAATGCACACAAATAATCAAATACAGACATTAATTAATGTGCACAAAAATAGGACAGACACTAAGACTGGCAGGCACCAACTTGTCTTCAAGCCACACCAACTCAGGGATCCTGAACTATAAGATAATTAAAGAATTGTTCCCCCAGGCAAAGACTTGCAGACAATATTAGGCATTCATTGACACTGTGAGGGGGAAACAGTGACCAGACTCTATCTGTAAGTCTTGGAACTTACAGTTCATTGTTTTAAAGAAAGAAAATGTAGTGGACCCAAAAGGAACACCTTGTACTACTGATTAATATATTGTGAAAGACAGTAGTTGAATTTAATATTTGGCAATTTTTTTACTGGAATAGCTGCAGTGAAATAATATATGCAATGCTATTCATTACAACATCATTGTGAAAGAGAGTTTATTAATAGGAGCCTGGCTAAAGAAATAATGACATTTTGCTTAATGAGATGTTAGGTGTGGGTAAAGAAGAATGAAGTTCAATATGAACGGACATGTTAAAACCTCTGAGTATTATAGTAAACAAAAATAAACTATAAAATGATATTTTATAGTATATCATTATCTAAAAACTGCCATTAAAATAGTTTCCTTTTCATTGTTCTTAAAGTTAAATGAAGAGATGTGTCAGGGAAGATGAAGTAGATAGGGCTTTTCTTAGCCCCAAACCAAATTCTGGGCATTATATGTTAAACAAATATAAGAAAGCTGTTCAGTAGATAAAGGAACACCAGTTAAGGACACTGGAAGCCTGTCCCAAACTTGCAATTGTTGATTCCCCGGATTTTCCTTATGTATCACATACCACAGCGATGATGTGGAGAAGATAATTGCCTAGAAATATCAGTGAGTGCAGGAAGAAATGAAATTAACAGCCAAGTCCCATTTTCTCTAGTCACAGGGCAAGGGAAAGAACACACTAGGAACAGTAACATTGAGTGGTATACAGTCAGTAGGAGAGGATAAATGCCAGGGTCACCTCAAAGGTTTAAAAGTAGTCTTCATAAAAATTCCTTAACAATTACCAATATAATTGAAATAAATGACAAACACAAACTGTGGTACAGTCGATATATGCTTGCAGAGTGTTTAGGGGCTGCAGAGGAGGAATCCTTTGAGCCCCGGAGTTTTGTGTTAATCTGGGCAGTCCAGGAAAGTTCCGTTCCTATCATCAAAGAAGGTGAGGAGGAGAATGAGGAAGGGGAAGACAAGGAGAAAAATAATTCAGCAAAGAAATATAAGATATAAGGAAAAATGAGAAGATAGTGTGAGAATTGAAAAGTATAATAATAAACAAAATATTTTAGGTGACTGAGCTTGATAGCATACCAGAAGTGGGTGAGGAAATAATTGGAGACTTTGAATTAGAAACAGTGGAGATAGTGTAAGCTACATAATTGAGAGACACTAGACTAAAAAACAAGTAAATGGAGTCTTGGAAACCTGTGGAACTGTGAGAGAGCTAGCTAGCATCCCCATAGCCAGAGCCTCAGCAAAGCAGAGGGAGGACCAGTGCTGAGAAATGGTTTTGCTGTAATGACTGGAGGCTCTCCAAATCAGACAGAACACAAAACCTTCAACTGTCTAGAAGCTGAGAAAAGTCCCTAGGAAAAACCCTAAAGAAATATTGAACACAATATATCAGACCCAAACTCCCAAAAACAAGGAATGAGGAATCCTTGCAATAGGAAACAACATTAGTTTCATTGCAACAGAAAATAACCCAGACAACAGCTGAAGTCCAGGGAGAAGCCAGAGGGAGCAACAGTCCATTTCTCAGGTGCTGAAAGAAAAGAGCCGTTATCCCAGAATGAAGATGTTCACAGGCACTATGTACTGAGAGATGTTATTACTGTTGGGCCCACCTTGGTAAAAGTTTGAAGGGAATTTTAAACAGAAATAAAACAACAAAAGAAGGAACTTTGGCACAGCAAACTAAAATGGGGGGAAAAAATAAGCAAGCAAAATCATGGGTGTTGAGTACAACAGATTTCCTTTCCGTTTAAATTATTCTGTCTAAATAATTCTTCATGGGTAGACAGTGTATTATATATAACATCTGATGTTATTCTAGTGTGCGTGCATGAAATAGATTGAAGACAATTAAAACGGGGAGAGAAGTGGGAGACGGTAAGGTTCCTAAATTACACTGTAGCTGATAGGATGACGACACCACGGTGGGTGTGTGAGCATCGGCAGATTAAGGATAATGACACCACGGTGGGTGTGTGAGCATCGGCAGATTAAGGATGACGACACCACGGTGGGTGTGAGCATCGGCAGATTAATACTGAACTCGACCAGTCAATTCTTTGCCAAGGGGCTTAACTGAAAGAGCACTATAGAAAAATCAAAGAAAAAAAAGAGAAGAAACACCAAAGAGAATATATCAGAAACTAAAATAAAATAACATGTCCAAACCCTACCAAAATGATGATAAATCACACCTGGTTGAGGGTTTATCTCAGTGGTTAAGTGTATGCTAATTGTGGATAACATCTTGGGGTCAACCCCTGGGATTACAGAATGAACATACACTTGCATAAAATAAAAGTTAGAGTAATTTGTGTTTAAAAGAAATTGCCAGAATGTTTTTTTTGAAGTCATTCAACTGTATCCTCTCTATAAGAAAATAACTTCAATTATAAGACTCAAGGCGCTTACGAGTGAAGGATGGAAGAAAGGTAAATATATCATCATACAAACTGTTGGAGAAAGAGCAAGGATAGCTAAATAAATTTCTGCTAAAGTAGACTTAAGAGAAAACATAAGATGCCAGAAATGGCAGGGATGTTATACAATAAAAGTGTCAGTATAACCAGGAAGCTGGTGACCGTGCATAAAACACCATAGCTTAGAACATATAACACAAAACACGGAGAAGTGGAGAAGGAATAGGTAAATGCGCACTGACTGACAGCTTCAAAATTCCTCTACTAACAAACGATAGAACAATTAGACAGATCAGTGAGAAGCAATAATATCACCAACCGACAGGCTCAAATGCCTGTCTGTGGAGGATGCCCTAAAAACGGGAAAAGAGACAGTGTTTTTAATTGTCCTGGTATCAACACATCTTACATCCGGCTTCACAGAAGAAAGACTTCAACAAATACAAAAGAAAGTAAATTATGCAGGTAATTTTCTAGAGCTATAATGAAATCAATGTAGAAATCAGTAACAGAAAGATGGTGGGGAATATTTAAATATTTGGAAAGTTCTATATAACCCAGGGGTCAAAGAGGAAGCCCCAAGGAAATTTTCGTTTCCATTTGTTGAAGGTTAAAGCATAAGAAAATAAGTGGAACACAAGCAACTCGGTGTTGAAAGGGCAGCTGTAGCACCGTGTGCATGCGTTAGAAAGGAGAGCCCGCCCAGGTGTGGTAGTATGTGTGCACAGCAACTCATATCAGCACTTAGAGGGCCAAAGTTGCAAACTCAAAGTCAGCTTGAGCTACACAGCAGTAGTCTTTTCTTTTTTCCTTTGTAATCATTTCCTTCTACAGAATAGGAACTTGTTTTTCCCAACATATCCCCAAACATGTTGTGTTTAATTATGAGGATATTCAAATCTGAGTACCCACCCTTTGCTTGAAAAACAAAAATAAAACAAAAAGAGTGGGTGGGGACCAAACCAAAGCTGTAAACTTTCCTATTACTCTAAACTCTTTGCACACTTGGGTGAGTTGGGACAGTCCTGACATGTTCTCATGATATTGAATTACTTAATGAGATACACTATGACTAAATCTCAAAAAAAAAAATAGCACAGGCTTTGAAATCATGCAGTTACATTTTATGTGTCATGTGACCTTGTCCAAATGGTTTAAGCTGCCTAACATGATTCCCTTGTCCACCATACAAATAAAATTACATCTACTTTTCTAGATTTTCTGTATGAATGAAGGCAGCCTATGTGCAATACATGCATGGAAGACTAAAATTACTTTTTAAAAAGTGCTCTTTAGAGGTAACCCAATCACAAAAAGACAAACATGATATGTACTTACTCATATCTGGATTTTAGACATTGAGTAAAGGATTAGCAGCCTACAATCCACACTGCCAGAGAAGCTAGTAAACGAGGAGGACCCTAAGAGAGACATACATGATTCCCTGGAGAAGGGGAAACGGTCAAGATCCCCTGAGCACATTGGGAGCACAGGAAGAGGGGGGAGGGAGCTAGGAGAATGAGAAGGGAAGAAGAGGAGGGATGCAGAGGACATGAGGGAGCAGGAAGGTTGAGTCAGGGGAAGAATAGAAGAGAACAAGAATGGAGATACCATAATAGAGGGAGACATTTTAGGGTTACAGACAAATCCGGCACTAGGGAAATGTCTAGAGATCTACAAAGATGACACCAGCTAACAATCTAAGCAACAGAGGAGAGGCTACCTTCAGTGCCCTCCCCTGATAATGAGATTGATGACTGACTTACATGCCACCCAATAGCCCTCGTCCAGCAGCTAGTGGAAGTAGAAGCCTACACCCACAACTAATCACTGAACTGAACTGGAATCCAGATGCAGAGAAGGACGAGTGAAGAGCAAAGGGGTCCAGACCAGGCTGGTGAAACCCACAGAAACAGCTGACCTGAACATCGGGGAACTCTTGCTCCCCAGACTGATAGCTGGGATAGCAGCATGGGACACCAGGAACATGGGTTTCATTGAGCAAACCTCGGAAATCTACAGGACCTCTGTAGTAGTTCAGTACTTATCCCTAGCATAGGTGTGGACTTTGGGAGCCCATTCCACATAGAGGAATACTCCCTGAGCCAAGACACATGGGGGTGGGCCTAGGCCCTATCCCAAAGGATATGATAGACTCTGATGACACCCTATGGAAGGCCTCACCATCCAGGGGGAGCAGAAAGGATATGTGATAGGTAGGGTTTTAGTTGTGGGGGGGGAGTGGTAGGAGAGGACTGGAAGGAACTGGGATTGTCATATAAAACAATCTGGTTTCTAATTCAAATAAAAAATCTGAAAGAAAAAAAATAATAAATAAATGTTTTTTAAAAAGTGCTCTTTAGTTGCAAAATGCAAGGCTCATCAAGAGAACAAAGTATGGAGCCTCTTTATTAACATTTATCACAGAAAACCAGAGTATCTGCTGAAGAAAACTAGAGAGAACTGACTGCCTGTGCTTATCCATGTGAAGTGTATCTCACCTTCCTGTATCACAGTGCATGTTATATGAATTCAATCTTACCTGCTATGAGATTTATTTCCATCCTCGTGAATATGCATGGATGAACATATATATATATATATATATATATATATATATCCATTAGTATTAGTTTCTCCCAGGAAGGATGAAAAGGCATAACTCTACTGGAAACATTAGGACACTCAACATTTGAAATGCCAAAGACCCCTCCATCTCTACTACCCTCTGCTAAAGAACCTTGGTGTTGTTCAAACTGACTATTTTAAAGAGTTCAAATACATATACATGGCTGGAAAGTGTTTCATTTTATTTATTTATTTATTTTATTCAGCTTTTTGAGACAGGGATTCTCTGTGTGGCTTTGGAGCATGTCCTGGAATTAACTCCTGTAGACCTGGCTGTTCTCGACCTCACAGAGACCTGCCTGCTTCTGCCTCCCAAGTGCTGAGATTAAAGGTGTGTGCCACCACCACCCAGTGTGTTTCATTTTATTGATTGCACATTTAGAAGAAACAAATAGAAACTGTAGCAAGACAAGTCCCAGTGGTGGTGGACAATAGAGTTTTACCAAAAAGAAGGAAAGTGAACATTGGAGATGAGGGGCATGAAAGGGGAGCAAGACACAGAACATGTGCCCTTAAATAAGAGCTTGACTTGTCTGTTTCTTTTTACCCTCTTCTATCCGACCAGGAAAGACATATTGAAGAGGCGATTTTAGAGTTCATTTCTCCCTAACTTATAATTAATTTTCTTGAACTACTCCCAACTACTCTTCAATGACTGCTTGTGCTCTGAGAAATTAAACTGCATAGTAACAGAAGAAAGCATGGAATTTCTCATCACAGTTAAGTGGAGCGCAGGCCAGCAACCTTGATATGGAGGACAGATGAGCGTTTGAGAGGGTAGAAGCCTACTGTAGGATTGGCTGCGCAAGGTGTGAAGAGTCAGTTGCCACACTCAGACCAGAAGCATAGATATGAAGTGCATTGTCTTGTTTGCAGAGCCGGCAGAGGAAAAACAGAGGCTGAACTGGGGGAGGCTGCCATGGAGGAGATGATCAGCAAAACTAGACCATTCAACTGCCGTGAATGAGAATAACTGCCGTCCTCACATTTATCTCACCCTCTCTCCTTCCTTTGGGGGCTTGCTTTCAATGTGAGCAAACTTCCAAAGTCAAGAAATTGTCAACTATGTACCCACCTGGCCAAAGGAGACAACAGCTCAATCTGAAGCCATCTTAGCAGGACAGCCCTTATTAAATTCATAGGTTCTTGCTAAACAGTGCCAATTGTACTGTGCCTACATTTTCATCCACTGTGACTGAAGAAGGCTCACACAAAGCCTCTGATACAAATACCTTAAACTATCCCAAACCAAAGTTAGGCAAACAACACTTCCTTATTTCTACACTGCTTCAATTGCCTCATGCATTAAATTCTCTCCAACATGATGTAAGTAGATAATGAAAATTTTAAGGTTATATTTTAATTTTATTGATGTGAGCATGTAAGTGTGCATGTGTGTGTGTGTGTGTGTGTGTGTGTGTGTGTGTGTGTGTGTGTGTGTGTGTGTGTGTGCCCATAGAGACCAGAAAAGAGTGTCAGATTTCCTGAAGCTGGGGTCACAGGAGATTGTGAACACCAGAGGTGGGTTGTGGGAATTGAACTCCTGACCTGTACAAGAGTAACAGTAATAAGTGTTCTTAATCACTGGCTCTTCTCTCCAGCACCTCCCCCCCCAACAATAAATTTTCAAGATAAAACTTTCACATACATTCCCACTTGCTGTCTTGAGGTCCATGTAATAATAGATAATTCCGTCTTTCCAGTTACAAAATGTTCTACTTTTGTCAAAGCACAATATTACTGAGTTCTTAGTTCAAGCTATAATTGATTCAAAAGAACAATCAAACCAGAGGAGTTTTCCTATTTAAGTTATGTGCATATGTGTAAATGTGCACTCCAAGGTGATTACCATTGCTTAGACATCTTTAATTATAAGAAATATTTGCATTTAGATGAAGATTCTACCTTACCATTCAAGAGGATTCATGAACAGAAGACTCATGCGGACATAATGTAGGATTCCCAGGTTCATTAATCTCAATCTTAATACTCTCATTTGTGTACACAGTGGTCTTACTATGAGAGTTAACCTAGGTTCTTTACAAAAAACACTGTCAAGTGTTGCTGACAGATGTGAGGAAGGCTAAACTAATATTCAAAGAGTACCAACTGTTCCATTTCCTCATCATATGCTGCAAATTGACTACCCAACTGGAAAAAAAACACTTAAACCCTAATAAAATTCAGTGCCTAGAGTTACATAAAATGGATTTCAAATAGAGAAAAATAATCCACCTAATCACTTCTCTGAATTTTTTTTTCTGGTACACAAAGTATTGTAATATTATGAGCAGGCCTCCTTAGTGTTAGGTGAAGTTACATCAGCCTCAGTAGTTAGAGACTTCACAGTTATTATTGTTGATATATTCCTGAGCAATACAGAAGAACTCCAAGGTATTCCAAGTACAGGCTGTCGGTTTCTTAACCTTTCCCCTCTTGTCCTTTGAATGAGTAAGTGCTCAATTTAAAAGGTTCATGCCTCCAGAGAGCAGTTTTCTGCCTGATCCTTTCTCAGAGCACCTTTTGGCTAGAGCCTTTTAAGGAAGGGTTGCCTACAACACACGTTAGCAAGTTTAATCAACAAGTTGTCATGTTAAGAAACATTACCAAACAGTATGATGACCATGTCTTCCTTATAAGGTATCATGGTTTTGCACTATCACTTTATTACATTGGAAATTTAGGTGCGTGCTTCTGACTCAGCTCTAGAAGTCATAAATCCGCCCTGTGGTTCATGAACTGCCCAATTACAACCATCTCAGAAATGCTGCTTTTAAACCTTTTCAGAGGAACATGGGAACCTTTGTTCCTTAGTGTTGAGTCATCATGGGGTCATAGAAATCACACCTTATTGTACTTCAGGTTGACCCTTGACTCCAGTCTGTTGAGAGACAGAGAAACATGCAAGATAGAGACAGATGAACATTTCCTGGCTGCTGATTAGTCTCCCTGTCCTTAGACCTAGAGTCCCCTTTTTCTAGTTTTCCTCTTGTCTTTCCCTTCCTAAAGATCTTGAAGTTTTCTCATCCTCACGTCTGGTGACAAGCAAATATCTCTGTGGCCTTTGTGGCCCAAGTTCTTTGCACCCTGGAGTCTCTAAGCCACCAGCATACTTAGCACAAACCTGCCAAGCAATGAGCAATTGCTCAGCAGTCTCCTACTCCTGACTTTTCATTTTATTGTTTACTATTGGATCACAGTAAGTGCTTCTTAACTATTGAAGGAATGAGAGAAGAGAGGAGGAAGGGAAGTAGGAAAGGAGGGAGAAAGATTCTGTAATTTATTAGTGAAGAAAACTGAACACAATATTTTTTATTATTTAAAAAATTAAAATATGGGTGCCCTGCTCTGAGCCACCTGAGGCCTTCGGACATGCACTGGGAGCACCAATCTGGCAGTCCAGCCCACCCAGAGACTGCCAAGGCCGCAGTACTAGTCCTGCCTCCACTCACGGGAAGAGGAGAGCCATTAGAGTAATGGACCTGCTTGCACCCACCAGAAGGGAACCTTGGGCCCGTACCCACCAGGAGGAGAAGGGACTCCTCCTGTACCCACTGGAAGAAGGGATGGGAAGAAGACAATACAAAAACACATTCAACAACATAAAAACCAATATGGCACCACCAGAGTCTAGGGACTGTACACCAGCAAGAGCTGAACAGCCCATGCAGATGAAGCAGATGAGAATGACCTTAAAAACAACTTCATGAAAATGATAGAGGCCCTCAAAAAGGATGTGAAAAAAATCCCTTAAAGAAATGGAAGAAAAAAACAAAACAAAAAATAAAGAAATCAACAAATCCCTTAAGGAAAGCCAAGAAAAAACAACCAAACAGATGAAGGAAACAATTCAAACAGTTCAAGACATGAAAACTGAAATAGAGAAAATAAAGAAAACACAAACTGAGGGAATGCTGGAAAAAGAAAAGTTGGGTAAAACATCCGGAACTCCAGATGCAACCATAACCAACAGAATACAAGAGATGAAAGAGAGAATCTCAGGCGGTGAAGATAACGCTAGGAGAAATAGATTTATCCACCAAAGAAATTCGTAAGTCCAACAAATCCCTAACAGAAAATATCCAGGAACTATGGGGCACTGTGAAAAGACTAAACCTAAGAATGATATGGGTGAAGAAACCCACCTCAAAGGTGCAGAAAACATATTCAATGAAATCATCGAAGAAAACTTTCCCAACCTAAAGAAAGACATGCCAATGAAAGTACAAGAAGCTTACAGAACACCAAATATAATGGACCACAAAAAGTCCCCTTGCCACATAATAATCAAAATGCTTGAGAGCATACAGAATAAAGAGAAAATATTAAGAGCAGCAAAAGAAAAAGGTCACATATCATATACAGGCAAACCTATCAGAATTACACCTGACTTCTCCATGAAAACTATGAAAGCCAGAAGATAGATATTCTATAAACACTAAGAGACCATGGATACCAGCCTAGACTACTGTACCCAGCAAAGCTTTCAATCACTATAGATGGAGGAAACAAGATATCACTCCCCTCAAAAAAACCAGATTTAAATAATACATAGCCACTAATCCAGCCCTAGAGAAAGTTCTGGAAGGAAAACTCCAACCAAAGGAAGTTAACTATAACCAGAAAAACATAGACAATAGATAATCCCTCTTTACCAACAGTCAAAACAAAAAAAGGGGGGTTGGTAATCCACACACAATTCCACCACCAACAATCAATCCAAAACAAACAAGAATGAGCAATCAATGATCATTAACATCCCTCAATATTAATGGTCTTGACTCACCTATAAAAAGACACAGGTTAACAGAATGGATAAGAAGACAGAATGCATCTTTCTGTTGCATACAAGAAGCACACCTCAACTTCAAAGACAGACACTACCTCAGAGTTAAGGGTTGGCAAAAAATTTTCCAATCAAAATGACCCAAGAAACCAGCAAGGGGTAGCAATCCAAATATCTAACAAATTAGACTTTAAACTAAAATCAATCAAAAGAGATGAAGGAATTTTCCAAGTCCCCAATAATAAGCACATTTTGTGTGCATTTATAAGTTGCTAAACATTTTTAGCAAATAGAACCTAAAAGAAGTTCAAGACTACCACTGCTTGTCTTTGGACAGCTGCTATGCAAAGGAACCACACTATACTATGCAAAGTATGTAAAATTCAGAATTTGTTCTATAAGGAGTAATTCACTCAGGCTCACTAGAAAACATATTCTGGATTTCCCTGGAGCAAAGGATTGGACAAGCACGGGCACTAGACATGGTTGAACGGTATTCACAAAGAAGCTGGAAGGAAAGAGGAGGGTAAGAAAATAGAGCTGTTCTCATGGAGAACAGATAGAAGGGAAACAAGATGGTGGTGCACTAGGATCCACCTAAACCTTCATGCTTAGAGGGTCAACCAGACCACACAGGCAAGTACCTGCAGTTCTTCACCCAATGAAACTGTAGCAGCCCTTGCTGTGAACTATGGAGTTCTCTTCCAAAACCATGCTTTTAGGGTGATAAGCACAATGAACTCCTATTAGAGAGATGTGTTGCTTATTCTTTGTATCGGGGTAAATAGAAGGGGGTGAGGGAGAGAGGTGGAAGAACAAAGACCATCCAAAAGAGACTGTGAACACCAAACACCCAATGGTTTCTTGGCCAGCTCAACCTTGAGTCTCACACCCCACCCCCAGCCCAGACCCCTCCACACCCACAGTAACACAGTGTCCTGTTCAGAATCCCATAGCATACAGTGGTCTGAGCACCACAGCTGCAGCCACACTTCATGACTATCATTGACAGATTGTCTTTATTTTAGTCAGTGAAATTCATGTGGGCAAGTTACTAAGGTGGTATAGGTTGCCAGCATCACCCTAACACCTACTACACAGTGCTCACCTGGATGTTAGTCCTTTAACAAGTTTTTTGTTTTGGTTTGTTTTGGTTTGGTTTTCCCAGACAGGGTTTCTCTGTAACAAGTATTTACTATTAGCATGTTTTCAAAATTCAAAAAAAAAAAAAAACTAAAGGAAATGGACAATTTTCTGGATAGATGTCACTCACCGAGATTAAATCAAGAACAGATAAGCAATTTAAATAGATCCATAACCCCTAAAAATAGAAGCATCAAAAGTCTCCAAACCAAAAAAGCCCAGGGCCAGATGGTTTCAGTGCAGAATTCTATCAGAAATTAAAGAAAAGTTGGGTAAAACATCCGGAACTCCAGATGCAACCATAACCAACAGAATACAAGAGATGAAAGAGAGAATCTCAGGCGGTGAAGATAACGCTAGGAGAAATAGATTTATCCACCAAAGAAATTCGTAAGTC